AAAAATTTTCTTCTAACGAAATGAACTACTTGTTAATGTCTAAAAGCTCCTAAAATTTCAAGCTTCTACAGGCTGGGGTCTAGAAGAAAAACGACATGAAAAATTTGGAAAAAAAGTACTTTAGATAACGGTAAATTTGAACGGCCATTTTGTTTTTCTAAAGTTTAACTATAGTATACCGCGGTAGGGGAAGCAAGTCACTGCCCTTCTGCGTTTGCAAAATTTCAAAAATGCTTATGGTTTCATTGCAACAAAAAGTTAAAAAAGGCCATTTTTAAGGTTTTGGGGGGGTATAACTTCTAGAGGGGGGGAGATAGGTAAAAATTTTGTTCTACGAAAATAAGTTTCTAGTAAAGATCTATGTACGTATTAAATTTCAGCTTTCTATCTTTAAGAATGTAGAAGTTTTGTAAACAGACACACGGACAGACGGACGGACGGACGGACGGACGGACGGACGGACAGACGGACGGACGGACGGACGGACGGACAGAGTGAAACTAATAAGCACTTTTTTTCAAAAAATTTTTGGAAAAGTGCTAAAAAGCTAAAATAATTTGTCTTTAATATTTGAACCAAAACTCGGGCATTTGCTTTAATATTACTGTCTTAACTCGCTTACTTGCCTTAACTCTACTTGAGTTAAGGCAATTGAGCGGGCCAAGTTAGATCTATTAATAACTTCTATTATGCATCCAATAAAAATATAAAATAAATTAAATTTTGCTCTTGAATATTTTCAGTATTCTAGGTATCACGATAATTGATCATTTTTATTAATCGCTTTTTCACTGTAATTATTGACTTTGTTCGTTATGATGAATTTTTTTCATAACCACTCGCTCATTATAACCTATTACAACTTTCAATTTAAAATTGAATAGTTTTTCTTGTTTGTTGTCAAATTCGTTTCCTTATAATTATACTCGTATTATATTCAAACATTGAGAGGTTTACATAAAGAAAACTTAATATTTTTCTTACAATTTATTGAAACCATCAATATATTTTTTCACTTATATTTTTCCTCATGTCCTCGGGTGCTTTTAACACTACGTTCTTCACATTATATTCATTTCCATCTATAGAGGACAACTTGTTGTATTTTAATTTGTATTAAAGTTCTAGTAATTTTTTATGCACAATGAATTTTTATATCGATGCATTGAAAATTTAATTCAAGGAAGAATATTAACAAAAAAAAGAAATCTTTTTGTGAAAATTTAAAATATTCACACTCTTTTGTTTCTATTTGGAAATTTTTTTGTTATCCTTAATCTTCATATTGTATTCTAGACACTAGCTAGTAATTATTACTGCATCTACACAAAATAATAAAAGTAATTTTTTTCAGCAAGGTTTCACAGTTCGCTCTAAATATTATAAAAAGAGAGTAGAAAATAATAATATGGGGAGATTTAAATACAAAAATATACCAAATGGTGTTCACTGATATATTCTTCGGAAATGACATCATTTCTTTACAAAATTGATGAAGACGGATATGAAAAAATGAAAAATAGAAGAACAGTTTCTTTCTTTTTGTTTTTTTTTCTTTTGTGCTTTTATTTTATTTTCGGCGAATATAAATCTAAATTGTGTATATAATAATACTGTGCATCATGTTATATTTATATATAAATATGTATATATTTTGTACTTACATAATATTATAACATGATTGCATGCAGCAATATTATTTTTGTTTAGTATAATATCGTAATATATAAAATACAAGAAAAAAAACAAGAAAAAAGAAAAAGGATATTTTTTTAGGGAGAAAATAATAAACTTTTGTTGAGCATCAGTGGAAATAATGTATATTTGTATATGTGTGAAAGTAGTTGCTGAGAAAAAGAAGGTCAATCGTGTTCTGCAACATAAAAACAGTAAAAACAAGAATATTGCATAATAATATTTTTATACAGTAATGTTTTTGGCATAATATTGGGTGATTTGGAAAGCATTGTTTGTACGTGTACACATAGTGATGTTAATAATATGTTGAAGAAATTACATATTACGTACATACATATATGAATAAAATTATTATGTAGTTTTTATATTACAATATTACTCAACATATGCTTTTTAACAACATGTTGTTTTGTTGTTGATGTTATTTTCGTTCAGCTTTGCTATTTTTTGTTACTGCCATTTTTGTTGCGATTACTTTCTGTTTTCTTTCATAATAGCATAGTTTATAGTAAATATATGAGTGCAGAAATTTTAATTAAGTTCATTAAAAAATTTTAAGTAAGAACTACATAGCGTACGTTTTTTATATGAAAATGGTCAGTAAAAATTAAACTCATAGTAAATATTTTTTTCTAAATTACTTTGTGTACTTACCGCTTTCGAATGCAGATATATTTAGATCTGTATTGCTTACACGGAAATATATATATATTAAAACAAAGTCATACTTATTATTTGAATTAATATAATTCAATAAATAATTTTTTAAACGATACCATCGGCATGTTGAATTGGAGTTTTGTAATTTTCTGTAACTAATAAAACTTCCGCGAAAATTTCTTCAATAAAAATAAGCTTCTCATAATTGACGTTGGATCATCACGTCAAGATGAATATAAAACTCATTTGTGTAAATTGTTAATATTAACATTAAACGCAATCTGGCGGACCATGATGTTTCACCTCCAAGGAGTGAAATTGTGATCCAAAAACTGGACAAAAAAAGATCAACATTTTTGTAAGCTTTATTTTTCCAAGTATTATATGCTTAATTAAATGTGATATGGAGAAGAAGAAAAGGCTGGAACGCCGAAAATTCTAGTGTGCAATTATGAAAGTTGACAATATACATGAAGGAGAAGCACAGGCAATGGTCAAGCTCTTTCATTCTCCGTCAAATTGTGGACAGGTTTAACTGATTTACGTAATACCGATAAAAATATTTGTTAATATTTTTATCACTTAAAATTTTTTTTTCCAGAATTTTTAATAAGTTGGTTATAATGGACCTAAGTAAATAATGTGCAGTGTATTCATACTCATTTCTTTACTTATACTTACATAATAATATGGGTATCATTTTGTATATTGTCTCGTACATGAATATTATGAATTTCATTTTTCATGTTTTTGGTTCAAGAAAATTCGAAAACTTGGTGAGAATATTAATAGGTTGTGTATTAAAGTGGAAACGTCCTTGCCAGAATAATATTTATAAAATACATGTATAAATAATTTTTCATGGAATCTACATAAATAAAATTTTTGTAAATATACATACACATGTATAGTATATATGTATATATATTATGTGTATCGAAATATCAATACATCTCCTATTTCGCACACATGTTCACTTGTACTTACAATGAATAATACTGAAAAATTTTCCATTTCATTCCCATGCATACATATTATACATACATATATACATACAGATATTATTATTATTGTTATTATTTAAATGTTGTCAAAATCAATTGTTTTGATATTTCAAAGAACAGAAAAAAAAAACAGAGGATTCATTTTACTTTTCATTTTAATAAAAATCACACTTGACAATTTTCTAAAAGTACAATTCTTTATTATAGTAAAAATTATACATAGAAAAACTCAGATGTAATCTATTGAAAATAATTGAGAATATTTAAAACAAAATATTAGAAATAAGAATTATTGTTATTTAAAGTAAAATTATTGCGATTAACTTTTCGAAATCAGGTGGTGGAATGATGAAAAATGTGCAATGAAACATGAAATTAAAATATTTAATGGGCATAAAAAAATGACATAAGAAATAGTAAAGCGTTATTAATATTGATTTATTGTTGATCGATGAACATTTAAAAAATATGATCAATTTAGTATGTGCAAATATGAAATTCAAGGAAAGTTCACGCAATTTGATTATGAGATTTGAAATTTCAGAACACAAGTATGAAAATATTTTTGTAAATGCCAAACTATAGAAACAAGAATATCTTTATTAGCCGTATACACAGGATGTACATACAGCATGTATAGAAAGAAATTTATTTCAAATTGGCTCGACTGTTATTGCAACCACTTTAACAGGTGTACAATAGAACATTTTTTGACTTATTCTATTAAAGCTTTGATTTTAGATAAAACGGTGATTTCAGACATTCACTGCAAAGGGTGGACAATGAGCTACTCGAGAAGCATACAACGAGATTCATAGATTACTACTTTCAGTTCAGATAGAGAAAAACATTTATATTTTTAAAATATTTTTAAATAAGGCTATTTTTTCTACTGATATGCTACTCATAGTCCATCTAGTAACAAAAAATTCATAGTTCATCTGGCTATAGAAAAATTGAATTTTTATGAAAAATATTGAAGATTTGCAAATAATGCTGTAATTAATTTTATTTGCGCAAGATGTTTTTTTACGTATGGCCTTTAAAAATTTTAAGGGTTTAAAATTTATCGTTCAAAATTAATTTTTGCTTAGTAGATAGCCTTCTGTTATACATAAATTTACATTTTGTTGAAAAACACGTTATTGTATATACATATGTTATATGTACATATATTATTTTACAAAAACTTATTCACTTAAAGGTGAAAATTGTGCAAAAATTCTAATCTGACCCAGACAACAAGGCAAGGAAATTATTCTTCGAGGAACATAATAACTCCCTCTTTTACAAAAAATTCTACATATATTATAGAAATTCTACTCAGTATACCCTATCTCCCTACTTAAGTATATAAATAGCATTATTGCAATGTAACCGATATAATATAAAGAAGTGATAATTACATTGAATTGATTCAGGAATTAATTAATGTGATCAATTTGATTTTATATAAGTATATAACAGAAAAAGAAAACTATAATAACAATCAATTCTTCTCATACATTTTACATTTCAAATAAATTATTGTTCACTTACACACATTATTTTATACTCATCTCTATATATTGTACTATTTGAATAGATGGGAACAAAAATATTTATTATACTAACTTACTTCCATATTAATATTTACAGAGTCCAACCCCACCTCAATATGTGTATTGGCAGAAAAATGATCGCCTAATTAATTATTACGATTCAAGAAGAGATATAACAATTGAAACAACACCTGGTCCACGTACACAAAGTCGACTGATTATTAGAGAACCACAAATAGCTGATTCAGGTAATTATACCTGTTCAGCAAGTAATACAGAACCAGCTAGTATATATGTATTTGTATCCAAAGGTAAGTGAATTACAATAATATTATAAAACTTAAAATATAGACACATACATTTGAACAATTTCATTTAGTAATGTTTATATAATATGTAATATTGTAATATTATAGAAAATTGTAATGGAAAAACGAAAACACAAAAGAAATTCCTTACAAAATTTTCCTTGAATAAAGGAGAAAAATTGAAAAACTAATTTTCTTCTCTTTTCTTTATTTATAGGTTAGAAAAACAGGTTAAATAATTAATATTAGCTTCTTAATCTTTTAAATCCTTATGAAACTTATTTACGAGTTCAGAAAGTAATATTTCTCTTTTTTCGCAAATAAAATATTGAATGCTTTGTATATAGATTATTTAATTAGCTGCTCTTCTGACTAACCATTATAATAAACATACATACATGTAAGAGAATATTGATGATTTGTTAATTTTCTATATACATACGTACCTAGTTATTTAAAGTGATTATTTATGGAAGATAAACTATTCAAAATTCATATAGATTACACAATATTTTGAAGTAATTAAGTAAAATTGAAAGGAGAGAAATATGGGTGTTTTGAGAACGTTCGTGATGGTGCATATATGAAAAATTTGAAGCAATTATTATTAACCTAATTATAATTTCAAATACAAATTTTACTCATTTTAAATATAGATCAAATCTTATTGAAGAATATTTGAGGTGAATAAAAAGAAGGTGGTCCAACCCAAAAATTCTTGATTTCGAAATAATTGCATAAAACTGTAAAAAAAAATGAAGAGCTCAAAGGAAAAGTAGTACAGCTTCAAAAACCGAAAGTTTTAGGTAGATGCATTGTAAATTTTCTTTAATAATTCATCTTTCAAATGTGGTCCCAATTTTTTTTCTAGAACATTTATATAAGATTAATATATAAATGAAAGTTATACAAGTTTAATACTTGTACGTATTTAGTAGGAGGTAAAAAAAGTAACGTTCTGTCAACTTTTCCGATTCTTGGTTTTGATACTAATCAAAATATCATAAATTTATTAATCCATTTAGAAGGATATTATAAATATACCAGTCCATTTTTAAAAAACGCTAAAAATAGGTATCTGAAATTATAGAAATAAATTTTTGATCCGCATCGAATTCTGAGCCTACTTAGTTCGTGTTGGCCATGGAATAAAAGAGACTTTTCTAATTATGGTTGAAAATTATTTTAATATAATATTTTGGGACATTTTTTGCATTTCGGTAAAGAATTCGCCAAAATTCAAACTCATATACTTGTAACACTTTCATTTGATCGTATTTAAAATAGTGATTGTAATAAGATTTTAATTGTGAATGCTCTTCAAAAAATTAATAACGCTCTTTTTCTTAATAATAGTTTCTTTACAAGTTAATCCCTATAAATCGTAGTATGAATTGTAATGTGACTTTTTCGTAGGGTATTTTATAAAGTTTCTATAATAAAAAAAATTCACAAAAAAAAAGGATTTTTTTATCACTCCCCCTCTTTAATACTAAACAATTATAATTACTACGGACTATAAAATAATTTATTACAACAATTTTCATTAAATTTTAAAACGAATGTAAAACGGAGAAAATAAATTAACATTTCTTTGACCGAAATAAAATTCTTTTTATTTATTCATTTTCTAATATTCTCAAAAAAAAACAAAACGGAGAGAGAAAGAGAAAAACTAAATTTAAATAATTTAATTTCAATTTAAAGTTTAGGTAATATTTTTTCCTCTTGAATAGTAATTTTATCTTCTTTTCTCTTTATCCTTTTCTTTCTATTTTACTATCTTTTTACACTATAAACTTTATTTTCAAGTAAGATGAAAAAATGTACTTATTTGATTCAATTTATTACTTCATATTATAAGTTGATTTAGTTCATTTTTGAAAATTGTAAGAGAACAATGGTAAAGAATATTAGTAAAGAACATTATTCTTCTTCGTCACCCCTTAAATAGGACAGAACTTTCCCTTAAATCAAAATCTTTGAAGCTAGTTTTCTCGTTTATATTGTCAAGTATTTTTCTGCGTCTTTTCCATTCTTTCCTATAATTTTTTATTCTTAAACATTTGACGCTTCACAGTAAGAAAATATTAATCACTGATCTTCTCACTCAATACTAATTAAATCTCACTGATACTAATACAATCACTGAATGCTCTCTTAATTGGTTTTTACTCCGTACCGAGTGAGTAAGAAAACAGAATAAAATGTACTCATTCCGTACCGAGTGTTAATAGAAAATGTACTCATTCAAAAACCGTTCAAATTCTCGATTACTTTTCCATCTAAGTTCTTTTCCTTTCTTTCTGATTCTTTTCCTCGGAATTTTAATTTTTAAAATTGGACAAAACGTTTCTTAAAAAACGTGTTTATATTCATTTACACTTTAATTCCTGTTTTTTTTTTATTATTCTTAATAGTATACCAAAAAACAAGCATACCTATGACAACTACAATATCACACCAAAAGTACTTATTTATACATTTGTAAGTACTATTGTATACAATATGTATGAGTATCTTTATATGTAATATACAAAATGAATTATACAATGTAAAAAATGAATAATATTTTCATTTTTTGTTCACAAATTTTTGCAAAAAAAAAAAAAAAAAGAAAATTATTTTAGAAGGGAAGAAAAAACACAAAAACTACTTGATTAAATAACTTAATAAAATTAAGTTGAAAGAAAGAGAAAACAAAGAGAGATATAGTAGAATTTTTTGTATTGTGAGCGAAGGAGAGATAAGAAGGAAAAATGAAAACAGAGCCTAAATGTAGGCCAACTACATTCAGAGGAAAAATAAATTTTAATAAAAATTTTCCCATACTAAAGTGTGTTTAATATTTTAAAATTTTCTTTTTTTAGAAATTTTAACTCTTTTTCGTCTTCCTTTTTTGTTTTCCTTTTTGAGGCTAATGAGTTTTTTATTTCAGTGTTTTTTTTTTAATTTTTCAGTTTTCTACAGAAATTAATGAGTTGAACTTTTATAAAGCATAAATTATTTTTTTCTCTTTCTATTTTATTTTTGTTTTTTATAATTTTGTTGTAAAATCATAATTATTTAATAAACTATTATAAAATGATGTAATCAAAAAATTTTTATAATTTAAAAGGATATTTTTATAGAAAAATATTTGTACCTTTTATAGGAAAAACTTTAATTTTCCGAAAATTTCTGATTGTTTGAAGATTTATTTGTATTAAGAGCTATTTTAAATTATAACTTTAGTTAAATAAATAAAATAAGGTTCATTTAAAATTAAATAAAAAATTTTATATGAAAATTGAAAAAAATATATACATATACATATATATATAAATAAAAGTTAACACATGTGCAAATAGTAAAAGGATCTCACTTTGAGAGTAGCATTTAAAGAAAATAATTGTGTGACGACGGTGAATATTTAAAGTATGGTCAAATACATGTAGGTTTAATTTAATTATAAGCAGTAAACACACGGTAATATCGTGGTTTTTGGAGTGTAACTGATTATGAATTTTTAACACATTACGTCCCGTGTGCACACATTTGTGCTTTTCATTGAACTTCAAGAAAATCCCGTGTGCACACATTTGTGCTTTTCATTGAACTTCAAGAAAATCCCGTGTACACATATATGTGCGTTTTGTTGAATTTGAACTCAAACATCTTTATAAAATAAGAGAAAACGCCTTTATAAGATAAGGAGCGAGGTAACGGTTAATTTCAAATTGTTTTCATCTGTAAAGTTAAATAATTTCGTCTGATCTCAAATTTCTCAAGAACTCTCTCACTTGAGTTCTCATTTGTCCCGTAAGGTCACTCTCTCACATGGGGTTTCATTTGCCCTGTATGATCTTTCTTTGTCTATTCTATAGTCTCCCGTGGTATATTATAGCTTAGCACATTTTTCAAATTTGGTTTAAAAAAAACGTTATTTGCTATATAAGAACGATATATTTTTAATTTGCCCCGGTACCAGAGGAAAGTTTTTTAGAAATAACGCCGGGAGGTAATGTGAAATTGTCTCCATAAGGATTAACTAGCTTGGTAATAATATTGTTTTTCTATAATTCTATTCGAAAACATGGAAAGTTTTATTAATGTCAAAAGAAGGAAGCTGTTAATACTTTCTTAGGTTTTATAAAAAACATCAATTTGATGTTTATATTAAATTTGTTTAGTCTTACCTTTCGTGGGTGAATGACAGTTATTCGAACCTGCTAAACCATTTCAAAAGAATAACATTTTAAAAAAGTAACCTGCAATGAAAACTATGGTATTCTCATATTTTAATCTTCATATGTACAGTTATAGCTCTTTGAATACTTTATCGGAGCTATAAATTTTCCAGTTCCCCCAAAACTATTCCCAAATCTAAATTTTTTAATCTTCATTTTATTAACATCTAATTCACACATTCTTTTCCTCATAAACTTTCCTCATGAACTCAAATATTTAGTAGTAAAATATGTTCATATAAGCAATGTTATTTTACTAATTATTTATAAATAGCCTTAATTTTGCTTGTGTAAAAAAAATTATGGAACATGAATAAATTAAATATTACACAAAATTGGGCGATATTTTAATAATTATTGTCAATTAATTATTTGAATTAATTAATGGTACACGTATGTACGTACATGTGTTTTATTCATGTATCAGTTTAATCTTATTCACTGATTTTTTGCTATTTTGCATAAAATTTGCATAAATCAGTCATGTTGTTTTAGTTTTTACCTCCCATTCAAATTTTATGTTATTTTCGTACTGCCATAGTTTTTGTTGAGTTTATTTCTATAACAAAATTGGAAAATAATAAAATTGTTAAAAAAAATGGTTATCACATTCACTTTATGGTAGTATGAGGTAGCGTTTGAAAGGATTTGAAGATAATCTACAATTTTTATTCAATGACAATAGAAAATGTGTTTTTGTTTTTTGCTGTATGTAGCTAATTTCATAGAATAAGTCCGCAGAAAAACAAAATCATGAGATTAAAATTTTAAAAA